GATGGATGGATGGATGGATGGATGGATGGATGGATGGATGGATGGATGGACAGGTGGAAGGATGGATGGACAGGTGGATGGGTGGATGGACAGGTGGATGGGTGGATAGACAGGAGGGTGGATGGGTGGACGGGTGGGTGGATGGATGGATGGACAGGAGGGTGGATGGATGGACGGGTGGATAGATGGATGGGTGGACGGGTGGGTGGATGGGTGGATGGATGGGAGGGTGGATGGGTGGACGGGTGGGTGGGTGGATATGGTCCTGAATAGAGTGAAGGGCTGACGTAGGAAGGCAGGCCTATTTAGCGCTCATCAGGCTGGACCACATTAGAACACACTGCGGTCTCCGCTCTGACCCTGAAATGAAACGTGTGAAGAACTCAGATGCAATTGCGTTTGTTTTGCTTGTTTCACTTTCTTGTTTGAATTTTATTTAACTTTATTTTTAGAAAAGAATTTTCAAAGTGCAGAGAATCTGTAGCAGCTGGTCATATTCCAGAGGCAGAGTTTAAAAACAAGGTGTTTTGCTAGCTCAACCATGACAAAAGTCAGACAGAGCAGACCACACAAAGACATGACTGTCTCTCCAGGAAGAAAGATGTCCCAGGTGGGGACAGATGCCAACTCCAAATCCATCTCCGTGAGATTCACCCGCATGGGCTCGATGGAAGGCTGGTAAGAGGAAAGCCGTTCTAGGAGAGCACAGCACTTCACAGTCTATGCCAAGTACCCTGTCATTTGCTCTAGGAAATGGAACCACACAAGTGGCAGCCTGGAGCAGCGACTGCTGGGGGCTCTGACTCCACACAAGGCTCTAGCCACCCTCGTGGCCTGAATGTTTGTTTTCTCCAGAATCAGGAGGATTAGTTTTGTTCAAACCTCAGACTACATAACCACGGGTGAGCTGAGAAATCACTAAAGTAATTGTGATTGATATCCTGTTCATTGGAAATAAGATAATAAAGAAAATGGATCAGTTTCTCGCACACCATTATACAGACAAGGACGCCAGTGTGGAGCAAGGCAAATGTGGATGGTGTGCTGATTTGGTGCAAATCAGTCAATTTTAAAGTTCTAGATCATGAGAAAGTCTTGTCCTCTTCTCCCATAAGCTGGGACTTGGCCTTTTGCAAATTCCCCAACTCATTGGTCTGGGTTACCTGGCCTTACGCAATGAACAATTTGAAGTTTGAGATGTCCCCTTTTCTGACACGGGCTCATGTAGCAGGATGCATTGAGAGCACTGACTGCTCTTCCAGAGGATCCGGGTTCGGGTCCCTGCACTCACATGGCTGCTCACAACCTTTGGGAACTTCTGTCCCAGGGGATCCAACGCTCTCTTCTGGCCTCTGTGGGCACCAGGTACAGTGCACAGACAGGCACAACACACATACACATAAAAGGAAGTCTTTTTTAAAAAAATTAAGGAAAATCAAAAATGCTCATCACAAAGGGGGTTATTTGTGAACTTTCTAACTCTGTGTTGAGACGAGCAGGCCCCAGTTAGAGAAGAGGGACCTAGAGCGACCTGCTCCTCTGGGACTCGGATGAGCTCTAATTAAGCCTCTCACTGAAAACAGAGCATTCAAACTGACTTCTTACACTGCTTTAAATGAAAAACAACAAGCTCAAAAATAAAATTATCAAACTGCCTCCCACCTAGCTCAAGTGCCACTCTGCGCTCAGGCTTTGGTCATACGTGTATAGAAGCTGAGCCAGAAGCGCCCGTGCGCTCCCCCGCCTGGCTTCCTCGTGGCCAAGGGTCACAGTGACAGCCCAGGCAATCAGAGAGGCTCAGCTCTGCATTTGTCCTCACTCACTCAGGCCTGCTGAATTCTCTGATAGGACAACTGCCCAGTCCAGACGGATGGTCAGCGGGCGCCGAGAACTCCTTATACTCCCTTCGTGACCCCATTCCTCATCACCCTCACCCGACCCAAGCTGCTAACTTCCTACAAGCACAGATGTGAATCCTCAATGAAAGGAGCACGGCAGGCACTGGGGCAGGGAGCACTACAGGCAGTGAAGCAGGGAGCACTACAGGCACTGGGGCAGGGAGCACGGTAGGCAGAAATGTAAGGAGCACTGGAACACACGAAGGACAAGGCTTCCCAAGGGACAGAGAGGGCTGGCGCCTAGGAGAGATGAGGACAGAGAACAAGAGGGCAGTGAGCTCACACAGGAAGCCCTTTGCCCCACTGACCACACCTCACACCTGAGGGCCTCTGTCCTCTTGTTCTCCGCCCTGAGGAGAGCAGCCATCACAGGCCTACACTGGAAATCTAATCTGTATAGTAATTACCCAGGGCACGTAGTCTGCAGGCTGAAAAGCAAGGACAGAGAACAGCCCATGGGTGACAGGAACACCTGAAGCTGCAGTCTGTCTCCAGTCTTTCTTGTCTAGCTTGTTTTGGGGTGTCTGTTATTGTTGTTTAGAGACAGGGTCTGGGTGTGCAGCCCAGGCTAACCTTGAATTCCCCTCCTCCTGCACAGTCATGCCTGGCTCTGCCGAGGTTTACCCAGGCAGCAGGCTACTTAGGCTTCTTGTGAGAATCACAGGTACGGGGCAAGGTATATGCATGCACATGTGTGTAAGGGTGAGTGTGTGAGTGTGTGTGCATGGGTGTGTAGCGGTGTGTGTGTGTGTGTGTGTGGTAAGGAGTCACTTCCTAAACATTCAGTTCTAAAATCAAGAGAACAGCCAGGGAACGAGCTTGACTTTAACCCCGTGACAACCGGAGACTATAAATAGCTAACGCAGGCCCTGGAACAAGCCAGTCAAAATCTAGTCCTTTATTCTCTGAGAAATGAATCAAGGTAGTTTGAAAGCCCACAACCTGACCCTGGCACTGGTTAGCACCACACAGTGGCTGGCTGGCACTCTCCCTGCAGGCTTAGCTGACTCCTACGCTTCGCAGTGACTCATCTCATTCACCAGTTTTAGGATAAAAAGAAAAATTACGGGCCACTGGAAAGCGTACTGCCCCTGGGGTGGAGATGATTCTGGGACATTCCCAATACAGCCAATCAGGACAAGCTTCAGGATCTCCTTCCAGTAAGGAGCTTCCCCAACTCATACACTTACACAAAACACAGACACACACACAGACAGACACACAGCTTGCAGCTGTGCTTGTACAGCCTGGGCAAATCCTGTGCACCCCTGGATACGGCAGGTCAGGTGTGCAAAGCAGCATTCCTGAACAGAGGCACAGAGCCCAGCAGGAACAGCCTGGGGTGACTGTCACATGACTGGCAGTGGCAGTCAGACTCTAAGACGCCCAGGTCCAGAGGAAGGCAGGGACTTCCCTGTGATGTCTCATCAGGAGCAAGGACAAAGGGGGCAGTTGCTATTTATAAAACACAGAGGAGCAGACACGAATGCCCATCAAAACTAAAGCAGGCAGGCACTACGGAGAGCCAAGGGGAGAAACTGCTCCAGTGAGATTCGACATTCTTCCCTCCAACTCAAATACTTCATACAGCCATGCTTAGTCAGAAAATCAACCAGGGAAAGTGAATTCTTTTTTAAAAAAATTGCTTGAGACAGTTTCCTGTAGCCCAGGCTAGCCTCAAACTCACTAGGTAGCTGAGGATGACCTTGAACTCCTTACCCTCCTCTACCTGGGCCTTCCCAGTGCTGAGACCACAGGCCTGCACTACCAAGCCTGGCCAAAAAGAAAGTTCTTCTCACAGGGCCTCTGCATGAAGGACAAGACACCAGGTCCTCTGGAAGGGGCCTTTGGCTGTCACAGCAGAGAGAAGAATAGTACCCCAGGCAACACCCCACAGACCTCGGATGCACCACAACCAAGGACGTACCACATCTCTGGGCTACAGATGCCGAGGAAGCAGGGCAGCAGCCCAGGTGACTCTGAAAGTGGAAACGTACTCCTAACAATCAACAGGTGCCATTACCAGAGCCTCAGGAACAGCAGAGACAACAGGCAAAGTAGCCAAGTCCCATCCGGGAGGGAGTGGTTATGGGGGGGGAGGCTTTGGGATCTCGGGACCGGTCCATCCACTCTAACAGCATCTACTGTCAAGAGCACCCGTGGAATTACTGTCAATACGACAAAAAGGCAACCTACTGAATGGGAGAAGATCTTCACCAACCCTACATCAATCAAAGGACTGACCTCCAGAATATATAAAGAACTCAAGAAATTAGACACTAAAATTCTAAACAATCCGATTAAAAAATGGGGTACTGAACTAAACGGAGAATTCTCAACAGAAGAATTTCAAATCGCCAAAAGATACTTAAGGTCATGTTCAACTTCCTTAGCTTTCAGGGAAATGCAAATCAAAACAACTTTGAGATACCATCTTATACCTGTCAGAATGGCTAAAATAAAAAACACCAATGATAGCCTATGCTGGAGAGGATGTGGAATAAGGGGAACACTCATCCATTGCTGGTGGGAATGCAAACTTGTGCAACCACTCTGGAAATCAGTGTGGCGGCTTCTCAGAAAATTGGGAATCAATCTACCTCATGATCCAGCAATATCTCTCTTGAAAATATACCCAAGAGATGCCCAATCATACTACAAAAGCATTTGTTCAACTATGTTCATAGCAGCATTATTTGTAATAGCCAGAACATGGAAACAACCTAGATGCCCCTCAATGGAAGAATGGATAAAAAAAGTGTGGCACATTTACGCATTAGAGTACTACTCAGCGGTTAAAAAAAATGACATCTTGAATTTTGCATGCAAATGGATGGAATTAGAAAACTATCCTCAGTGAGGTAACCAAGACCCAAATATATGAATATGGTATGTACTCACTTATTTGTGGATAATAGCCATAAACAAAGGACACTGAGCCTAAAGTTTGCAGTCCTAGAGAAGCTAAGCAATAAGGTGAACCCAAAGAAAAACATATATAGATCCTCCTGGAAATTGGAAGCAGACAAGATTGCCTGACAAAATTTGGAAGCATAGGGGCGGGGAGTAGAGGGTTGGGGAGAGATTGAGGGAACGGGATGGTTGAGATGGAGGAAGGACAGAGATGAGAGCAAGGAAAGAGATGTCTTGATTGAGGGAGCCATTTTGGGGTTATCAAGAAACCTGGCTCTAGAAAAATTCCCAGGAATCCACAAGGATGACCCCAGCTAAGACCCTAAGCAATAGAGAGGGTGCCTAAACTGGCCTTGCCCTGTAGTCAGACTGATGATTATCTTAAGTATCACCATAGAACCTTCGTCCAACAACAGATGGAAACAGAGACAGAGACCCACATCAGAGCACTGGACTGAGCTCCCAAGGTCCAACTGAAGGAGGGGGAGTATGAGCAAGGAAGTCAAGACCATGAGGGGTTCACCCACTGAGACAGTGTGCCTGAGCTAATGGGAGCTCACCAACTCCAACTGGACTGGGAGTGAACGAGCATGGGAACAAACTAGTCCCTCTGAATGTGACTGACAGTCGGGGTAGACTGAGGGGCCACTGACAGTGGCACTGGGATTTATCTATTCCATGTACTGACTTTTGGGGATCCTATTCTCTTTGGATGTATAATTTGCTCAGCCTGGATGTAGTGGGGAGGGCCTTGAACTTCCCACAGGGCAGGGTGCCTTCTCCTCTCTTAGGACTGGAGGGGGCGGGTGGGAGGGTGTGTAGAGGGAGTGGGAGGAGGGGAGGAAGTGGGAATTTGGATTGGTATTTTTTAAAAGTAATAAAATAAAATAACAACAATAAAAAGAATTAATGCAACAACAGGAGGACAGCTGAGCTGCATGTCAAGCGTCTCTCCTAGAACAACAGGAGGACAACTGAGCTGCATGTCAAGCGTCGCTCCTAGAACAGCAGGAGGACAACTGAGCTGCATGTCAAGCGTCTCTCCTAGCAGTACAACAGGAGACAGACATCCCACCCAGGTCTGTGAGACCGCACAGCAGCGGCTCTGCCCTGGCGGTTTCTAACCCGTCACAGGTCACAGGACTAACACAAGAGCAGGCACACAGACTATCTCGCAGGTCCTGCAGGCCTGCAGAGTATGAGAAATCAAGAGAAACACCACGAAGCACTCGGGATCTCAAGGTGGGAGGAACATCTCCAACGACAGCAAGTCACTGCGGACTGAGAGTGTGAACTGTGGGGCCTCTCTGAATGCCACCCCAAAACTCCGTGGGCCAGGAATGGGGTAATCGTGGAGAGTGTGGGATGGTGGCAGGGGCCAGGGACCTAGAAATGGGTGAGGGCAAACCCCACCAAGGCCCAGAATAGAGATGAGGCTATAGATGGAGAATTACCCGCAAAGATCTGGCGGCTGCATACCTGGGGCTAGGGACGGATGTCAGAAACACGTCCCCCACAATGACCCTGCTGGAGAAATGGAACACACAGGGAGGGGTCAGTAAGGCCATTTCCAAATCTGATGTGCAGCCAAGTGGGTCTGCCGCTGGCCCACACCAGCCACCAGACGGCGGCAACTGTGGTGTCCCCAGAAGGCAGGAAGCCAGCATCTGAAAACGCCATCCCTAGGGACTGTCACATAGTCTTAACCTTGATGTCACCGATGTGGAGCTGAGGGGTTCTTGTCTCCTCCTTCAGAACAGAACAGAACAGAAGTGTTCCAGGGTAAGAGGAACTATCACTAAAGGAAGAAACAAGGCAAGAGAGAGACAGACACGAGGGGTGGATAAGGAGGGTTGCAGGAGCCCGAATCCACCATTCTGCCAGGCGTGTGACTTCAGGACCTGCCTGTTTCAGTCCCATCCACCACTGCCCGCGACAGTCACGGTGCCGTCCACCGAAGGTCAGGTCTGTGGTGAGGGCCAGTGCTGAAAGGCGGCACCGTTAGGGTCTGACCTGGACAGCAGATCCCCACAGCTCTTGTGTTTTGAACACATATCCCCCAGCTGGTGGTGCCGTTTTTTTGGAGGCTGTGGCAAGCTGAGGAGGCGGGGCCTGACCGGAGGCAGCAGGTCACTAAGAGCTGGCTTTTTGGCTTTTGAAGACTGTAATCTAGGCCTCGGTTCTAGCCACCCCATGTACAACCACCCCCTGCTCTCTTCCACAGGTGAAGCCTCTCAGCCAAACCTTCCTCTGACGTGCTGCGCTGAGATTCCTTGAAGCTGAGCACAAATTAGAGCCTTTGCCCCTCCCCCGCAAGCTGTTTCAGTCGGGTTTGGTCACAGCAGGGGGAAAAATTACCAATACTTCTTCCCAAGCCCAGTTCACCCTGGCTGCCGATACACAGCCAGCCCCTACTCCCAAATGAAAACAAACACTGACCAACGGGGGGCAGCACAGTCTCTCCAGGGCGTGCAGCCTGACTGACCAGAGTGACCTCCCAAAGTCAGTCATCACATGCCTGCTGCTCTGTGCTTCACAAGGACACTGCCTTCTGCCCCACCAGCCGAACTAAGCAAAGGCACAAACTACATTCAGAAGCCACAGCTAAGGACGAATTCCTCTCTGGGTGACCCAACGAGTACTTAAATGGCATTGTGTTTTTGTGTCATAAATTCATAACACTGAAAATCTAAAAGGGGTATCTAAGCTTCAGCCTGCCAACTGACTACGCATCCCAGGGTAGCTATGGATGTGGGCTAACACACCTGCATGGCAATGTCATACTGCAATGCCAGAAGGCTGGACAACCCAATCTAAAGTACCAGCTGGGCCGTGATGGCAATTCCTGTAATCTCGGCTAGGAGGTCAGAGGTCAGAGTACAAGGGGTTCAAGACCAACCTCAGCTACACAGCAAGTGAGAGGCCAGACTTGGTTTCACAAGATTCTCTTTATGAACAATATCAACAAATCTAATACACGTACCCAAGATCAACAGCTGCAAAGGCCTAGGCACATAGTCACTAGTGAAAAGATAGAGCTACCGGGCACGACGGTGGCCATCTTTAACTCCAGCACTCGAGAGGCAGAGGCAGGTAGATCTCTATGAGTTCTAGGTCAGCCTGGTCTACACAGCAAGTTCCAGGCCGGCCAGGGCTACGTAGTGAAAGCCTGTCTCAAAACAGATAAATGACAAAACAAAACCATTAGATTGTATCCTGCAAGGGCCCAATGGGAGATTCCTTCCTGAAACAGACAAGGAGCCCACGAGAATCCACTAAACAGCCCTTCCCCTTCCCTCAGACACTCACCTCCTCAAGAAGCCTCGTGACAGCATCTATGTCATTGTATGTTTTAGTCATCTGGCCAACTCTTTCAGCGCAGAGAACTGCAAGAAACAGAAAGGGCAGTGAGATCACTAATGTTGGAGAGCTGGCAACAGGTGGTCCAGGGACCAAGGTCCCTCAACCGTGTCGGGGTGTCAGACATCAGAGATTCTACCCACACTGTCCTGAACTGTGAATTATGAGAAGGTCTGAGAAGCCACAGTCTGAAGCCGACAAGTTTACAGGGACGCATGCAGCCTTCTCCCTGCCTGGCCTAGATTCTAAAGCCATGCATGCAGTTTCTGTAGCAGCAGCAGTAGGGTGCCAGCCTCTGCAAGTCCTCCCAAACAGGACCATCATGGCTGCTGCACACGCATGCACACATTATCCACACACGAATGCATGCACACAGAGCACAACTTCATTCCACACACAGCTCACTGCAGCATGAGAGGCTGCTCAGGAGCCACTTTAGGCCTGTGCCTTCTCAGGCCCCTTCTGGTGGAGGAAGGCTCTAGTCTGCTAACGTGTCTAGTGTTGTTTCACTTCAGTTCAGTGGCAAGGGACTCACGGCTCAGGGCACACCAAGGAAGGCCCAGGACTTTTCCTCTATGGGGCACAGTGATTGCATTTGGATTTAGGACCAATGAGAATTTTTTTTTTGAACCTGTCACTTTGGGTGTCCTAGGACTGGAAGCTTTTTGGTTGATAAAGTAGCAAACACAAGAGTCCGGGTTAGACCCCCAGAACCCATGTGAAAAACAAACAAACAAACAAAACAAAAAAATCCAAGCATAGTGGTATCAGTTTGTAATTCTGTGCTGAAGAGATGGAGGACACTGGAAGTTGATCTCTGGCCTCCACAAGCACCCCTCCACACACACACACACGCACACACACACCTTCATGCTGATGTGATATGATGTGTGTAACACAGACCCTGGGAAGAGTTCTATTAGGAGTGGAAGCTTTCATCATGACCCACATCCAGCGATAGCTCGTGAGAGGCACCTGGGACCCAAAGCCTCGCACACCTGGAGCCCTGCTGGGGAAGCTCGCTGGAACTGAATAGTCTCTAAATATTTTAGCAGTGCAAGCAGAGCCTGATCCTAGAGATGAGCTCAGAGAAACCTGATCCGCTGGAATGATTTCCTAGCTCAGGAGAGCCTGAAATCTGGTTTTCAATCTGAGGCATCAGCACCTTGGAAGCAGAAGCCAGGTCCTCCTCACCCTCTCAGCGCAGTCGCCCTTCCCCCCAGATCCCTCCGCCTTCTGAGGCGCAGACAGTGCCTGGCTCCAGACCCTTTCCCCTTGCCTTCACGCTGGCCAGCAAGGAACCGGCAGGGAGATGTGTAACGGTGGGGGGCGGGGTAAACCCACTCTAACTTGCCGTCCACGGAGTCCAGCTCCGACTGCTCTGGACTGTTCAGGAGTTCAAGTCGACAAGCGGTCTCTGTGTGAAGAAGGCTGTGCCTGCCGTTAGCATGGCTTCTCCTGAGCAGCTGTGAGGTCCACGGAGAGGAACAGGCCCAGAGCGTGGCAGTCCCAAAGCTCACCCATTTACACTGGGGGCACCAGGGACATTCCACAAGACTCAGGGCCACTGACTGAGCCTAATTACCCAAGTAAAAGCCACTGACTGCTCTAAGCGAGGACTGTATGAAATACACACACACACACACACACACACACACACACACAATAGTACACAGAAAGAAAAAAAAACAGAGCAACCACAAAAATGCCAACATTTGAACAGATCACAGGTTTAATCGTTTGTGCTTTAAAAATGATTCTAAAATAGCTATAGCACTGCTACACTAGTGAGGGAAATAATTAAATATTATTCAGGAAATATATAGTTGGCTAATATAAGGACATGGGACCTGAGCTGAGTTTTAAGACAAATTAGTAACAGCAACAAGCTTTTTCTTAATTAACAAATAACAAAAATGCATCTTTACGGGGTACAGTGAGATGCTGACCACATTGGACCATGGAGCACAGACGGACACGGGCAGCTCTGCAGCCCTTTACTGAGCATGCTCACTGAGGTCAGGTCCTGAGCACATCTGGCTGTGTAGCTCATGCAATCCTCAGTGTAGTTCAGAGAGGTGGCTCCTCACACCACTGCACGAATCAGAAAACCAGGCCCAGAGAATCGTCACACAGCTGGGTGGTGCAGAGGTCAACATGAGATGGACCCAGTAGGGCAGCAGTTAACCTCCGTGTCTACAAAGTCAGACGCTTTCCCAGCAACCCTGCAGGTGGCACTTCTCCAGGGAGAGCGGGACTCCAAGGGCACCGCGAGGGCCTGTTGTGCAGCCTGGAGAAGGATCTACAGTAGTCGTCCTTTGGTTTTGCTCGGGTGAGTTTATTAAGTGTACACCAAGGCAAAGTATGAGCGTACGCGGCAGATAGCATCGCCAAACTGTGCTTACAGCACCCAGCAGAAAACAGGCAGGACGCTGAGGCGCTCAGCTGGAGCTCCTATTGACCTTTCTCTCCACGAGACCTTCCCAGGGCTTTGTTCCGTGGTAGGGCAGGCATTTTTACATCACAGGACCAACGACAGCCACTCCTGTTGGAAATGGCTTGCCTCCTGACTGTCTGCAATGACAGAAGGCATCTACTCTTGGGCTATTCACCATTTCTCTCCCCTCCGCCCCCCATCACACAGCTGGGAGGTCAACACATGCCCAGACAAGGGGCCTTGGAGGACACTTCACCAAGCATGCTTAGGTCTGAAGTGAGACGAGGCAGCCTGGCTTCCAGAACCAGCTTCTCTCCGCGCTCCAACAGCACAGAATAATGAGCCCAAATCGTGGACATCACAGCCCAAACAGAATGAGGCTGTATTGTAGGAGCTGAACCTCGGCCAGCCTGGCTCCTAAACGCACAGAGGGGCATGATAAAGGACAGGGCAAGGCTGGGGGTGGGCGGTGTTCAGAACCTGTGCGAAGGAGCAGAGACCATCCTGACCTTGGGGGAGGTCTTCACAGAAGGTGGGGGCAGGGAACCCCAGGTTCCCTGGGTCTTAGGATCCCTCTTCCCCCTCAAAAAAGAGGGGTGGATCAAGACTGAGGAGCTAGGAAAGAACGAACTGACCTTTAAACTGTAGGGTGACTGAACAACGCCTCGGCTTTTCAAGTTTCACTTTCTACACAGGGAACACCAGAAACTTCGGCCAAGTTCCCTCTTCGCAGGGACTCAGACCATGCTATTAAATAATGCATTTTCACCCCAAAATGTGTCCAAAGAAAAGGTACAGGGGCAGCCATGAATCTCTATAATAATGAATACAAGAAAACTATGGTCCAAATACCAACCAAGACGTTAACTGCGTCCTGCGCCAGACAGCCAGTTAGACACAAAGAACACATCCTCAGCCTTTTGTACGACCACCCACTCTAAGTGACGCCATCATCCTGTGCCAGCCTCATGAACTGCTTGGGGCACACAAAAAATAGGCCAATTTAGGAGAGACATTGGAGACAGACAGTTTTGAGGAGTCCAGGGGTGCAAGCTCCTTCCAAGAGCTGGGATTGTTATCCAGGCACAGAAGCACACACTTGTGATCCCAGCACACAGGTCAGCCAGGCCTACACAGTGAGAGTCTAGCTTCCATTTGTCCCCAAAAGCTAAGTATCCTGGACTTAGGGACCCACAGGAAACCACTAGAGGGTCTTCACAGAAAAGCGTCAGTGCGTGGTTGGAGTTTATAAAACATTTAGCCCAGTATGGAATGACCGGGAGTGAGGCGCACACCGAGCCCAGTGACCTGTGCTAAACCTGCTGGATTCTTCTAGCAGGCTCCTTCCTGGGCGACAGTAAATGGACTCCTACGTGGGGAGACTGAGATAAGGCTGAGGAGGTAGAGCTGGGACACAGCCAGCAAGAGCAATCCATCCCCACCGGTCAGCAGCAAGACAGGCTGCCAACGAAACCGATGGTCTTGGGATGGTCGCGGCACTGTGGAGCGAGGTTCTGAGTCGCGGCACTGTGGAGCGAGGTTCTAAGCGCACTCCCAGAGCAGGGGAGGTCCAGCGAGAGAGATGCCTTCCAAGGAGCTGGCTGGGCTGTAGTGTCTTTGGGAGATTCCACTCTGCAAGGCTGGAAGGGACCAAGGCTTTCTTCCTGAGACTAGCCCTGGGCAGGCTGACCAGAGCAAGGGACACCTAGGACTAGGCTGGGGTTCTGAGGGGCACCTGGATCCAAAACTCAATGTATAAGTTTATGAAAATTAAGCCTCTCCCAAATGATTTTGAGAATACATGCTGGCAGGCCCCAGCTCCCCACCAAACCCCACGTATCTGTGTGGGCAGGACTTGATGACGAGATCTAACTTGCAGGAAACTCAGGAGTGACCTTGGCTGAGGCCTAGACACAGACCGTTCTAGGCAAGGAAGCAATGGCTGTTGGGGTCACTGGGTCAGACACAGGCTGGCAGGACTGGGATGAACAAAGAGGAGGTGCAAACTGGTGCTGACCGACAAAGGCTAGAGCAGGCAGCAGAAAGTTGGGGTGCTGGGCAGCAGGAGCAGAGAGGGGGTGCACGGAGATGGGATAGTGAGGAACTCCCACCTGCCCTCCCCAGGCACCCCGCCACCATGTCACACATTACATTAACAAGCTTGAGAAGCTGACACTGTGGCCTGATTGGTCATCTTAGAGCTGGAGACCTCACTCCATCCATTTGGTGGAATAAATGCATAGCTTCTCAGCCTGGCTCTGGAAATGTCTCTCCCACCAGCATCAGCATCCTGTGTCTTCATGTATTTTTGGCATGAATACATAAATGAGCATTTTACACATGTGCATATATGTGTGTATATGTATGAGTGTGCTTGTGGGTGTGTATATCAAGAAAGATATTCCTAGCCCTCAAGAAAATGCTGTTTCCACATAACTCAAAGACCACGCAGCCAATATCCATGAATGAAGGCTAGACAAGCCCCGCCTGTCCAATCTGCACGTGGAGCTGCCTGCACTCTGTCCTACCTTCAAGTCACTCCATTAAAGCAGGTTTTCGACAACGTGTGCTTTGATAGCCAGGTTTCAT